GCTGTATGTGTACAGAAAATCTATTCATTGCCCAGTTCAGACAAAACAAGCAACCATGCATAATAGGTACATTGCAGGGACCACACATTCCTAATATGCACCTAAGGGCCAGGCATGGGGGCAATGAGGCACAGCCCCTTCCCTACACCAGGTGAAGGATTTGTTATTGGACAGTATAACTTTGGATTGCTGATGGGTGATGAAGTGCCTGAATGTGCCGCACATGTAGTCCGAAAGAGGAAGAGACCCAAAGAAAGAAGTAGCTTCACTACTTCTCTGAAGGCTGTGGATTGGATTATCACTTATTATCTGACCAGGTGGGAGTGACTTTCAGCATTCTCAGTTGCAAATGGAAGCTTAACCTCCTGGAATGGTTATTAAAAACAATTGAATGGCACTGTGGCCAGTTCATTCTCTTGTGCGCCCTCGCCACTGAAACAGGATGAGTGAGTGATTCACAGACTCAGGAAAATTGAAGCTGAATGAGGTATGAGATGTTAACACTCCCTTGAAAAAACAAATGCCAGAGATTCATTAATATTTTATTTGTGAAAGAGTTCTTTCTGAAAAGATTGAGGCTGTGATCACAAGCACACTGAACTCAGGAAGGACCTTAGATCTGTAAATGTGTATATGGTTGAGCTACGTGGGTCAGCTATTCCTCCCAGTTGTTATAAACAGAAGAGTCTTGTGGGACCTTAAAGGCTAACAAGATGATTTTTAAAATTCTAGTATAAGCTTTTATGGACTTAAGCCTACTGTGCTGGGGGGGGGGGCGTGTATGGCTCAGTGGTAGAGCATCTGCTTGACATGCAGAAGGTCCCAGGTTCGATCCCTGGCATCTCCAGATAAAGGACCAAGCAGTTGGCGATGTGAAAGACCTCACCCTGAGATCCTGGAAAGCCACTGCCAATCTGAGTAGACAATACTGACCCTTATGAACCGATGGTCTGATACAGTATAAGGCAGCTGTATTTGTTCATGTGTTCACATAGTGGGTCTTCGCTAGCTAGATATATATGTACATTATGAAGGGAAAAAAATGTGAAATAGCACGTTGAGAGGACATGAAATGCAGGAAGTACAGGGTGAGATGTAATTATGTAAAACAAACCAGGGACCCGCAAGGACTCCCGGGGGAGGGGAAATCTCATTTGCTCCACTGGCTCCCTTACCTGGACCAAACTAGATGAGATGGTGTCCTCGGTGCCATGACATGGATACTGCCTCCATTTTAAGTGCTATTGTTCCCATCGATCACACACTTCTTATCAAATGCCAAAACAGTTGTGTAGGGTGTGTGCAGCTGTTTTGGCACTTGATAAGATATGGGGCGATGGTAGACAAGAGTGCCTCAGCCCTTGTGGCATTTTAAGTGACATTAAAGTGACAGTGGCATCCTTGTGGTTTGGCCCCCATATCTGTTTTTTCTACCCTGCTGGTTCGCGCTTTCCCCACCCTTCCAACTGCTTTCCCCCATTTGCTCTAGCTCCCAGTCTTCTGCTCATTGCTGGCCCCTTTTCCCCTCTCCCTGCAGCCTATGTTTCTGCTAATTTCCCCACTCCACTTTCACCAGTTACTGCTTTCCACTCCCGTCACCTCAGTTGTCCCCACCCCACCCCGCAGTCCTGGCAGCCTATTTCCTAGACTTCTTCCCTTGCTTCCAAGAAATTAAGTAAAACATAGTTTAAAAGCACTGAGATTTCATGAAACTACCTCACAAGATCTCGACCGCCACTTTGGATTGCCTAGGTGATAGTGTCTCGGATCCCTTATGTAATCTTAATTGGTGGCCAGGTCTCATGACGTAGTCTTGCGAGATCTCAACATAGTTTATTTGGTGTTTTATTTCATTCCCTACCCCTTAAATCTGAAGAGTTTGCTGCAACTCTGTGAGTTCCCTGAGGTTTGCAGAAACATCTGCCCTAGCTCTGGATTCCCCTTTGTCATTTATTTTTTAAATCTGCTCAGGAGGGCATACTTGGATATTAGATATACTGCAAAGTGCACGCGCGCACGCGCCGGGAGCTGGACTGGAGTCCCCCGCTGGAAGGGTAAGCGCCACTTGGCAACCCTACAAGATCTCGACCGCCACTTTGGGTTGCCTAGGTGATAGTGTCTTGGATCCCTTATGTAATCTTAATTGGTGGCCAGGTAGTCTTGCGAGATCTAAACATAGTTTATTTGGTGTTTTATTTAATCCCCTCCCCCTTAAATCTGAAGAGTTTGCTGCAAGTCTGTGAGTTCCCTGAGGTTTGCAGAAGCATCTGCCCTAGCTCTGGATTCCCCTTTGTCATTTATTTTTTAAATCTGCTCAGGAGGGCATACTTGGATATTAGATATACAATTCCAAGTGTAATGAAGTAAAGTACAATGACCATTCATAATGGCAGTAGTTGGTTCCCAGGCTGTACTAAGCCGCTGAATACCTGTAATGACTAGGGAATCCCATGGCCTAGTTCAGTCCCTGGGAGATGGTATCAAATTTCTTGATGGATTTTTAATTCAGCAGTTTCATGCTGAATTAGACTTGAAAGTCTTCTTGCTAGAGAATGGTTGCTTTAAGGTCAGCACCAATGTGACTGAAATGTTGTTGGAATGAAGTAATAATCCGTAGTGGCCCGTATCTTGCAAAAAACACCCCACGAAAATTTATAAATCAGGTGTATCTTTTGCTTAATTGATGTCATTTTCAAGTTGTAGAGTAACATGCATTTTCACCTTCACCAGCTGTGTAGTGAGGCTTCTGTGCAAACAATGCTCCAGTTCCATGCTTATAGCAGAACACCCACCCATAAAAAGTGATCACAACAAAGCTTTGTAAATGTCATTGTGACCCTGGCATTGTGAGCGATGTGCTAAAGGCTAATCAGCCCATAAGATACTAATTTTTTCTTTCAGTGGGTCATGTTAAACGGGAACAGGTTGGCTTGTCCTCCAGTAATACGACATAACAGAAATTGAATTGGATTATTTCGAGTCCATCGAAATGGCTTCTAGGTTTATTTCATCCCCCCCTACTCCCCAAATCACTGGGGTCAATAATGCACTTTCAAGATATATTTAATTACCAATAAGAAACAATAAGTAAGGAAAGGTTAACAATGGTGTCCTAAGCAGATTTACGCCCATCTAAATTCATTGAAGTCAAAGTGCTTTGGCGGTTTTAACTCTACTTAGGTTGGCACAGTAAGTAATAGATTGTGTTGGACATTGTTCCATTCTCACTGAAGGCCCTTGCCACTTGAGATCTTTCCGGAATAAAAAGGTCCTTGGGTTCTTGAAGTGATTAGCATTGATGATTTAGTCCAAAGGCTATTTCTTTCCAGTTGCTCTTCATTTATTTCCACAATGGACTTGGAAAGTAGATCAACAATATCAGCCGTTGAGTTACATAATGATGTAGTCAACCTCAGTTACAACCGTTGACATCAAAACAGTTGACTCAGACCGCTTTGGAAACAAACACTGACAGGAAAAGTAGTAGCCGCTGTTGAAATGTCAGATGTTTCTTGGAAATTCTAGAAAGGGCCTGATCCGCTCCACACACTCCTTTACATGTGCGTCAAGGGGCCCCCTGGAAAAGAGCCTCTGGCTATGTCCTTTTGGCCTGTTTGAAAACCATAAAAAGTAGAGCAAAGCCTGTCTCGTCTGATTCTGGTCCCAGTCATGATCATATGCTAGGGGGATTTTTATGTGTATGGACATTGCCAACCTGAGGTAATTCTGAGGTATTTCTGTCATTCCGATCCTTAGCAGCACAATATCCAAAGCCCACAAGATTAAACATTGGAGGGAAATGAACTTCACATCAGCTGGCCCATTGACCATTATAGGCTGCGATCATATGCACAATTAGGCATGCCATAGGCGCGAATGCTGGGTGGATTTAAAGGGCGCGATCAGACAACAACATCTGGGAAGTGCCCCACAGCCGTCGGCAACCCGTTCTGCTGCCGCAGAAGCGGAGTTAAAAGACACCAGGGAAAATCTGGTAGAAAACGGGTTGCTATGGGCCACGGACAGACTTTCCCCTGTCTGATCGCTCCAGCACGCTCTCATGGTATCGGGATGATCTGATCAGGCCAGCCTGACTCCATGCCATTGTTCCCTCCCCCTTCTCAATATGCGCATCATCACACATAGGGAGCCCTCAGTGCGAAGATGCGATTCATCGATTCCTCGTTTAAGCGCATCGGAAACAAACGGCAAAAAAAAGAGACTCACCCGCTGTTGCGTCTGATTACACAAGGACTGTGTGATCGAGCAACTGCAGGTAAAATTCCTCTGGAGGAAATAGCCTCGCTCCCCCCCCCATTTTTTCTGGTGCATGTGACCTCAACCATAATACTGTTAATTGGTTTGTTACTATATAATGCCAAATATTCTTTCTTTCTTAAAACTAGGTTTTCTTTTGTTTGTTGTCAAGTTGCAGCTGACTTATGGTGACCCCATGGGATTTTCAAGGCAGGAGACGTCCAGAGGCGGTTTGCCACTGCCTGCCTCTGTACTTCTTAGGTGGTCTCCTGTCCAAGTACTAACCATGGATGACCCTGTGTAGCTTCCGAGATCTGATGAGACTGGGCTAACCTGGGCTATCCAAGTCAGTGCAGGCCACCGTTTACACTGTGAAAAATGTATTACATCGTTTGCTAGTGAGCCAAGGGCACAGGCTGCTTTCTTGTTTCTCTGGCACCCATCAGGGCAGACCTAGCATAGCTTCCGCTACTGTCCTTTTTCTGTAGTATGTATTTATTTAGATATTAGTAGACCACTCTTCTTCCCAGTGACCAGATCTCTCCCTCCCCTCCCCTCCCCTCTCCTCTCCTCTCCTTCCCTCCCCTCTCCAGGTATTTTTGTGGACTGATGGTAAAACCATGCAAAAGTTTTGCCAAAGAATTGGGTTGCATCTCCGATTGATTGTACTGGAAATGTTCGGTAAGTGCTTAGTTTTTGCACATGGAATTCTGTGGACTTATTTTTCCCCTTGTTTCTTTCAGGACAGCATAACTATTTATGTGCCGGGAGGAATGACTGTATAGTTGATAAAATTCGCCGGAAGAACTGTCCTGCGTGTCGCTTGAGGAAGTGCTGTCAAGCTGGCATGGTACTTGGAGGTAGGCCTCTTGCGGTTCATGAGAAGTACTCAGATGTTATGGGAGATAAAACAGTTACTGTATTGTCTGCATGGAACCAATTACCTAAGGGGGTGGTGGGCTCTCCCTTGCTGGAAATACTCAAGCTGAGGCTCAACACCCATCTTTTGGAGGGGCTGTTAAGATTTCGTACACTAAGTCAATATTGGTCTAAAATGCAGCAGCGTGCCTCTTGTTCGGGACATCTGTGTGGGCACCCATATAGCCAGTGGTTTGCCAATTGCATTGGCTGCCAATTGTGTACCGGATTAAGTTCAAGGTTATGGTTCTAACCAGGGCTTTTTTTGTAGAAAAAGCCCAGCAGGAACTTATTAGCATAATAGGCCACACCCCCATGCCTTCCCTTGGCTTGCCTGGGCACCCCACGGTTGTGGGGAGCCCAGGCAAGCCAGTCCTTGGACAGGCCAGGAGGCCCCCCCTGGCCTGCCCGACTCGGAGTCACTGGGGGGGTAGCTCTCCAGGCCTTCTCTCTGTAGCCACTCATGCAGAGGTTTTGGTTGTAGTGGGTGTGGCCAACTCTAAAGCCAGCCGGAACTCCGTTCCTGTGCGTTCCTGCTCAATAATAGCCCTGGTTCTAACCTTTAAGGCCCTATGCAGTCTGGGACCAACATATCTGTGGGACTGCCTCTCCTGATATGTTCTCCAAAGAACTTTATGCTCAGCTGAATAACATTTACTGGAGATCCCTGGCCCGAGAGACAAGTGCCTAGCCTCAGCCAGAGCCAGAGTGTTCTCAGCTCTGGCCTGGTGGAACACGCTCCCAGTTGAGGTCAGGGCCCTGTGGAACCTATTATAGTTCCACAGGGCCTGTAAAACGGAGCTGTTCCACGAGGCCTTTGGTTGAGGCGGTGGATGCCGCACCATATCTGGCCTCCCCGACCCTACCAGCCCCCCTCATCCAGCTATGTGGACTAGTATACCAACTTATATTATGGGATGGGGGCTAGGCCCAATTATTAATGGCTTTCCTAGTGCCACACACAGTTATACTCCTATGGCCTATGAGTTACCACCTCACCAACATGTAGTTTAAATCGGGTTTTAGATTTGTATTTGAATTGTATTGATTTCTATATTTTTAATTGCTATATTGTACCCCCACATAAGAACATAAGAGATGCCAATGTTGGATCAG